TGTGTGTGTGTGTGTGTGTGTGTGTGTGTGTGTGTGTGTGTGTGTGTTTGCATGCTTGCAATTCCTAGAATTTAAACAGGAGGAAACCTGATTTGTTGTTGAGCTGCGCACGGCTTCCTGAGAACCTGGAAAAGAATCGGTACAGGGATGTCTTACCTTGTAAGTTTGTCCTGTATCTCACCGCACAGCCTAAAGAAAGAAGCTAATTATACATTAAAACATGTGGCATGATCAGGAATAATGTGCTGTGATTTTTGATGGTGGTATGTTGTTCAAACTAGACAAGTTTCACAAAAAAACAACTCCAACCCCCAAACTATTGAAATCAATGGGTTTTTGGCAAAACACGGGAAGACTAAGCCCTCTTTGGAGCTCTACAACTTAGGTATACTTTACTTTAGAAACATCAACCCAAATTTAAACAGAAAGTTGGACTTTACATGTCTGAACTGGCATCTTGATATCCTTTATGATTTTAACACAATCACAGTTAAAAAAAGTTAAAGTCTCGTAATTTTTACATATTTAACCACAAAATGTTCAACTGACAGTTGATGATGTCACACTTTTAAAATGTCTAAAAAATAATGACAAACTCCTCGCTTTTACACACATTTTGGCTACATATAGAATATATACATCAAGACGTGGGGATTTTTGTATTCTACCACCTGGTGTGTCTGTCACTGCTGTAGGACGTATGGTTTTCTCTCAAGACCCTCCAGAATGAAGAGTACCCACCCAAACTTCCAGACTTTATCTAAATTTAAGTTCCAGATATTTTCTTTAAAGAGTTTTTCAAACTTATCATATCTCCAACATTAAACACTTTAAAATGAACATTGCCAACAGAGTCTGCTGCCGCTCACAGTTCAAGAATTTTTAAACTCTGATTTTCAGTTTTTGCACAGCAACAGTTTGTTTGAGGCTGACTTCTTAAGTCTGTGCCACCTCCCACAGCCCTCAATCCTTCTCAAACTTTCCCAACCTTGATTTGGATCTCGCAGTGGGTCTCATGATATTTAATTAGATGAAGTGCGCTGACAGCCCAGTTCTGACCCTCACCAGCTGCTGTCCTGCTCTCCTTTCAGACGATGCCACCCGGGTGGTGCTGCAGGGTCAGGAGGACTACATCAATGCCAGCCACATCACGGTGAACACATCGCTCATGTGAAATCGTCTCCGTCTTGTGTTTCGATTTAAGTTCGTCCTGTTTATGTTTTATGTCTGTGTGCCTCTCAGGTGGCGCCCCCGTCATCTGGTGTATGTTTACGTTACATTGCCACTCAGGGTCCCTTGCCTCAGACCTGCACTCACTTTTGGCAATCTGTGTGGGAGCAACAGATACACACCATCATCATGCTCACAACTCTAACAGAGAGGGGACGGGTATACCACACTTTCTTTACTAAACAGCTGGAGTTTACAAGGAACAAACAGGGAGGCTGTTAAAATGACACAACTTGATATCAGTGATGTGTTCACACACTTATTTCTGCAGCCTGACAACTTATTACATGCTGTGTCATGTTTAATTTGAAACGTGATTACAGTAATTATAGGGTCCAGTGGTGATGTTTGCACACAACAGTGATCAGATGGCCCAGTTGTGAGTAATTACAGGGTTTCATAGAGAAAACATGTGTAAACCAGATGCTGATGAGATAAATATTTCTCATTTGTGCAGAGGTAGAGAGAAGGTCTCGCTGAGTGAACAAGTCTCAGTCTCAGCTTGACTGTTGCTTGGTAACCAGATGCTGGCATTAATTGATCATTTCCCTGATACTCTTCAAGTGTCCAGAGTTTATCCCTGTTGCACAAACGTGTACACAAACACACACTAATAGAATGACAATCAGTTCACATCCTGCTCTTGATGATTTGCTTTTGTTCCTCGGCCCACCCCATGCATCAGAGCGCGCTGTTGAATACGAGTTTGATTTCTTGAGAGCGGAGCTCAGCTGCTGTTTTCTGACCGGTGACTCACGCCAGAAGTAATGCAATATGTCCGTGATGTCACACGCTTTGCAGACCAAATGCCACCAGTACTGGCCGCATCCGCCGGAAGCCAAGGATTACGGTGACTTGACTGTGAAGTGTCACTCGGAGGAGTGTAACTTGGCGTATGTGACGCGACAGTTCACCTTGAAGCACACACAGGTATAGTGACAATTTGAACAGTTATGAAGGCAAAGAATAATGTATTTTTTACACTATTTCCATAACTGTATGTATACAATTAAAATGCTTTGTCTTGTTTTAAGAAATCTCTGGTCCTGAGTCACCAAAAACAGGATTTTCTGCACATTTTACAATTTATTTGTAGATGCAGCAGTGTTTAACATTCATCACTAGAAAAGAAGGTGGATTGTAGATTTCCTGGCATGCCTTTCCTCTTTTTGTGAAAGCAGCAATTCGGCAGATTGGGCCTCTTTCTCTGTTTCATCTCCCAAATATCACCAGCTCTCAGGAGACTGCAAATATTTCACACAAATTGTGTTGCAGACATTGCTAATCCTTAAGATTTGGGTGCTTTTTGCTCTTGTTTTATCCATCTATATTATCCGTGGTCGAGTTGCGGCGGCAACAGGTCCAGGAGGGAAATCCAGACATCCCTCTCCCCATCTCCTCCTTGACGATCACAAGGCGAGCCCAGGCCAATTAGGATACGTATTACCTTTAGTGAATTCTGGGTGTGCCCCGGTGGCTTCTCCCAGTGGGACATGCCCACAAAACCTCCAAAAGAAGGTGTCCAGGTAGTAGTAGTCTATGCCACCAGGAGTTGGCATGCCAAGGGACCCTCGTCATCTGCCACTGGGCACTTATCGGTGAGTCCCCCCAAAGGCCTGGCTCCAGGGTTTTCCAGGTTCCTGTTTTCTGGGTGAAGTATCCTGAGAACACTGACCAGACAGACTCCCGTAAGGAGACTACCAGGTATGACTAGCTGACAATGTTCAGTCAGGTCATCTGGACGGTTTCTTTTTGTTGCTGAGATGTTTCGTCCTTCATCCAAAGGACTTCTTCAATCTGAGGTGAAACCAACGAACTGAATCCCACATCTTGGCAAAAAAAAAAAAAACGTCCAGGTGACCTGACTGAACATTGTTGGATTTTTACCTGGATTATTGAGCATGAACTTTGGTGTTTTGAACCACTTTGGCATGATTGTCTCAGACAAGTTGACGGAGGAGAGGGCGGGTCTCCGAGAATATCTTATCACCAGCAAACTGTTTTTTTTTCCACTATGGGAGTGTACCGTTTGTGGGATTCAGTTTGTTGGTGGCACCTCTGATTGAAGAAGTCCTTTGGATGAAGGACGAAATGTCTCAGCAAAAAAATAAACTGTCCAGATGACCTGACTGCATTGTTGAATTTTTTACCTGGATTATTAAGCATGATCTTTGCTGTGCCTAGCTGCTGCCTGAGGCCATTTTTTCTAGCAGTTATCCTAGCTTCCTGTAGAAGCAACATATTGTGGTAAAATTGTGCGTTTTCACACATTTTTCTAATATATTTTCTTCAGTTAACCCTGAAGAATATGTGTCTGAACATTAGTTATCATACCTTGACTGTCTTTCTTAATGACTTTGAAGTGTTTAACTAGTGTATAAATTTCCACTGCTAATTGTTGATCAGCAGCTAGTTTATGTTTTTTGTCATATATTATCAAGCACTCCTTATTGGGCATAAAATTGTCAGTCAGTGTAAATTGATGTAAAATAAGTTGTAGTCATTAAAGTTCAAGTACAACAGAAATTTAATTCAATTCAGTTTATTTATATAGCGCCAAATCACAACACAGTTGTCTCAGGGCACTTTACAGGAGCATTCACATACATAAAAAAGCCAGTTAGTAAAGTTCTGTATTTAAGGAAGCAATGTGTGTAAATGTTTTCTACTCGCGTGGCAACCCTCTGAAATATAATCGAATCGTGAGGTGCCTAAAGATTCCCACTCTAGGTTGACAGCACAGTTTGAGGCACACGTCTCCCTTTACGTATTCGACCGATATGCAAAATTCTTGATTAGATCCTGCAGAAGCATCAGTCATTTAGTGAATCTGGACCTGAATAGTTTGGAGAAATTATGATGGACACCACCTGTTGTTCTAATTTCTAGGTCAAACTCGTGCATGAGCAGTATTTGACAAATAATCTATTAAATAGCTATGCTGAACAACTGCAGCGTGGGGGGTGTTTATCTTTCTTGGAGACTTTTTGACAGTTAATCAATAAAGCACTCGTCATTTACAGCCCTAACAGCTAATTTCTGCCGCCTGCTTTCATGTCCATTGAATTATGAGCTCTGCCAAACGCAGAGTTTTTGTCTCTTTATGTGTGGCAGCGGCGTGTAGCGCGTTAACGCCATATGTCACATAAAGCTCACTGCAGGCAGCAGCCACTCCTGGCAAACTAACTGCCGCCAGCATGCAGTCACTTCCGTGTGGGTGTTTTTGTCTGCACGTGTGTGTGGGTGGGCATGTGCATTAATGTGTTTTGCTAATTTCTGCACCCCCGTCTTTGTGTGTGTGTGTAGGGATGTAAGGCCTCTTTGCAGAATGTTTGTTTTCTGTAGATTTGCATCACGGTAGATGATCAGATTAAAGGTGTTTCCTTCCACGTCGGCCTCCATGGTGAACAGGTAAATAAACAGATTTACGCTCAGGGAGGCATGAAACATGAATGCACACACATGCATGTAAGGATACTGCTGTGTGGGTCCATCTGCTCCTCTGGCAGGAAGAATTAATCCCTGCATGGAGTCACTGAACACATGCCTATTATGAACTCCAGAGTCAGCCTTTTCTTGTTTTTCCACTCTTCTGTCTTCTTTCCATTCCACCTGTTTTCATCTCGTTCCTAATCTGAGTGTCACCCACTGGATGTTCTTTGTTTATTTTGGATGTTGTCAGCCTGTGTGGCTGCAGCGTCTCGTAAGGGTGATGTTTTCTAAAGGGTACCCGTTTATGACATTAAGTACTGATAATGCGATATCCATCTTTTTTCTGACTTGTGTTTGCGGCCTGTGCGCTCAGCTGGCTGAGGAGCGCGCAGTCACACACCTGCAGTACGTGGCGTGGCCGGACCACGGTGTACCCGACGACCCCTCCGATTTCCTGCTCTTCGTCAGCTCGGTGAGGGAGAGGAGGAAAGGTGAAGAGCCGTTAATGGTGCACTGCAGGTAACACGAGGTTTAATTGAATACCGACAGCGTGCACTTCTCTGCCACTTCCCGCAAAATGAGCTTGGCGTTTGTTTGTTTTTTCCGATTCCAATTTCAGCGCAGGGATCGGACGGACAGGTGTTTTAATCACCATGGAAACGGCGCTGAATCTGCTGGACGAGGGTCGACCGGTGTTCCCGTTGGACATAGTGAAAACGTTGCGAGAACAGCGAGCCATGATGGTTCAGACCACGGTACTGAGAAACAGAAAGTTTCTTGTTTGTTAGTTGATACCGCCTCATTAATTTCTTTATAGTGCTGCATTATGATCCCCCCAGGCTGCTTTAGTCTTCTCTTATAATGTAATCTTCATTTGTTACATGTCTAAATTGAAAAATGTGGTAATTTTAGCATAATATGAGAGAGTTGCCCTCAGTGGAAAAGCCTTTTTTATAGAAATATTTATTTAGGAAAAATTTGAGTTGGTTTGAAGCTCCATTTAACAGGAAAGGTCAGTTAAAGATAAAATATTTGATAATTTTTTCATACTTATGTTCAGCTAGTGCTCTTTTTTATTTTATTTTTTTATCAATTGTTTTTCTTCTGTTTGGTTCGATTTAGACATTTCAACTGACAGCAAACTCCTGCAAGGCTGAAAAAAAAAAAAAAAAACCAGTTGTAAGCTCAGTTTTTATGATACCATTCCATAGAAAACTTTTATTTATTTATTTTTAAAGACAGTCACCTTCATCTGTGACTCACTAAGTCACACTTCAGCTGATGATGAACAGCTCCAGTCAAGCGTTCAAGGCTGGAAGTCGTGCTCTGCGGCGCCTCAGTGGAAGGACAAGAAAGTGTTACTTGTGCTGAGAAAATGGCAGCCGGTTTCTTTGCTGCCCTTATTTTGAAAGGGCCCCTGGGGCTTCATCTTTTAATATGCTGATGGTACACTTCCTCAGGTTTCCCCTCACATGTGTGTATTAGTAATAAAAAACATGCACAGTCAGAGGACATCCTGTTTTAGATTAAAGATAATTCTTTTTTTATTTTATTTTATTTCTAATCCTGTGACAATCCCATCGTCCGGTTCCATCTTTGTGGTTCACGGCGCACTGCCCTGTGTCCAACTACTTCCTGCTGGTTACGCAAGTCTTGAAAACAGGTCACAAATGGATCATAACAAATCGTTTTTTAGCAAATGGTTCATTCAGAGGCTTTCAGTTGTTCTGATCCAGATGGATTCCTACAGTTGTCACTATTTAACCTTAAAATTTTACTTCCCTACTTCAGTGGCTTTGCACAAATTCAGATGTTTTCACATCTGCTAAAAGATTAATTAGATCACCCACTACTAAAAGGCAGACAATATTGTTTTTGCTCATGTCTGTGTGTGTGTCTGTTACCAGAATATCCTGTGAACTCCTGGACAAGTTTGAAAGGATCTCTCAGAAAGCAGTGATTAGACACACATTTACAGCAGATTAGCTTTTGGAGTTAAAAGCAATGAAATTTGGTTCTAAAATATATACATAAATTCTAATATAACTCTCAAAAAGTAGCCATTTGATATAGATTTAAAAACTATTTACACTTAGGCAGAGCTCAATTAAAGATGGCCATCTCAGCAAAAATTTAGCCTTAGCCTAAAAGTAATTAATAACCCAGTCAATGTTAGAGACACTGAGCTAAAACATAATGTGTGGGAGAAGCTGAGTCATTCAAAGCCCAAACTACAAGCACTAACAGGTACAGCGAGAAATCGCAATATTGCATGTAATTGCACATAACGTTATTTTCAAGATTTGATCAAAGTAGCTATATTCTGTGTTTTCTCAAAATAAGATGATGTAAAAGTCTGGCATGAGAGGCGGCAGGTAATATGCAGTCCTTAAGGAATGCTGCGTCTTTTATGCTCCGTCGTCATTATTATCTTATATATGAGTAAAATGTCTAACACGCTTGCAAATACTGAAACATTTTTTAAACAATAAATCAGATCTATTAAAGTGAGGTTGTGTGGAAACATAATGAACAATTAGTGTCTAACCTGTGTAGAGAAATGGTTAATTTCTGCTCTTTTCTCCAAACTTCAAAGAGATTTCTGCAACAGGTGAGTTATTGATTATTCATAACCTTTCTACAGAACCCCACTTCAAAAGATCTGAACTATACCTTTAATTATTAATAGTCTTTGGTGCTTTTGAGTATTTTCTCACCTATCATATATAGAAACAAGTTACCAAGTTAGCAATAGATGTTTAATTTAAAAAAAAAAAAAGCACCAAGCTTTAAGACTTATTTGAAAGAAGTGAATCTTCACCTCTCTGAGTCTGTGGTCAATGAGTGAGACTATTGATTACACCAACAACAACAAAAATCCTTGTTTTCCAGTAACCAGCAATGTGTTTTGTGGTTCACGTCTTCCAGTGTCAGTTCCAGTTCGTGTGTGAGGCCATTCTGCAAGTCTACAAAGAGAAACAGGAGAAAAACGCGACAACACCGTAATCCAAATCGACGATGGGTCAAGGGGACCAGATGCACTTCCTGCTTCTGCTTCACAGCAGAGGGAGGAACTTCCACAGCGAGCGCTCCAAAAGATTCAACTCTGTCGAGCTTCTGGTGCTGGAACACGGACTGGATAATAAGAGAATAAAAAGCTGCAGAGCCCAGCTGTCTGAGATCCATGTTGCTCTGAGAGAGTACCCACATTACACCTAGCTGGCCTTAGTTTTTACTTAAAGTGCATTAAGCGCGTAGAGGATGTGGTCTCCATAGAGACTGATGTAAGACTGACGTGAGCTGCTAATTTCCATACAAGAGGTCTCTCAGGAGCGACGCCTCTGCTTATTAAGCTATGTGTGCCTTAGACTGAAGCTTCCCAGTCGGTGCATCCATCAGAGGCTGGGTGAGACGGTTGTAATCTCCAGTTTATCTCTGTCTCCTGAGACGAGCGGCAAAAGCCGACTTTTAGATCTCTGCAGCAGATTCTGTAGTTTGCAGAGCTGCACGCCTTCTGCCAGAGGAGCACCAAACTTACTGTTCGTCACTTTTAAATTATTCACATTAAATAAACTGATTTGCAGCCGTGTGTTTGTCATTTTCTCTGATGGCTCTACAGAAGAGAGCACAATTGGTGTTGCTGATGTTTCACATTCACTACAAGCTTTTGTCCTCCATTTTTATTGTCATTTGATCATTAAATCTTCAACTTAAAGTCTCAAAAGTTGACAACATATAAATAAAGCTGTATCACAAATCAGCCCAAACGGAGTATGGCAAAATAATTGCGTAAAAGAATACGACAGCTGTGAGGAATGCTGCATGTTTGCAGCTGTATCTTGATGGTTATTCCAGCTAAATCTGAAACGCAACAATCAGAAGTCTCAACATTTCACCTGAAAGTAGCTTCATGCATGATCAGCAGGTTACACACAACACAGTGTTTGTTGGAAAATGTGAACGTAATTGTGTTTGAGTCTGATGTTATGATTTTTTTCATCAGATTGACTAAAAGGATGATTGAACTGTGAATATTTTCTGTAAAATACTTGATAACTCCCAAAATTGGGCATGTATTTTTGAAATTTATAACAAGGATTAGGTGGATTCCTACAGATGATTTTGATGCTGGAGTTTTGTTTTCATTTTATTATATTTGTTTTTAAAATACATTATGTACTGCAAGATTTACCTTTAAACATAAATGCAAGTTAGAAACGTCCCTTTTATCTTTACTTAAAATACAGATTTTCTTCGAGTATTATGAGTAGTTGTATATTAAAATATATTACATGTATACAGAAAATCCTAAATTTAAAGAAATAAAAATTGATTAGTTTGGGATGCCAAAAACCTATCTGACATTGCATCAAGAAGGTTTTATCCTAAAAAAAGGCACTTTATTTGTTTGATTTAACTTTATTTGACTTTTTAAAATGTTTTCCTTCTAGCTGATGCTCAATAATTTGAGTGTTTTAAACATGTTTTTATTTTAATTTTAGTCATTTGTGTAAATACACAAAACAAATGCATCAAAGATTAAAAAGTTGAATTTATGTTGAATGACAGTTTTAATATGATATAAATTTAAAATATATTGTTTATGAAGTCACTTTATTGGATTTAAATATTATTTCACCTATTACTTGTTTACTTCCGGTTTATAAAATGATTATTTTTAATAATAGTGACTTGTTTCCAAAGAGGTCGTGCACCTTCATTAAACCGGGGAAATAAAAATAATTAAACCAGGGACATCATGGAAACCTCCGGTTCCGGTCCAGTTTCCAAGGGGGTCTCGGACCGACAGGGGGCGCTGTTTCTCAGGCCTCTCGGGGTCGCTCAGCCGGAGAGCAACAGAAGTTTGTTCTGCGCTGTGTCTGCGCAGGCGCAGTTCGTGCTGTTTGTCCAGTTTCGCTGGTTGACTTTTACCTGAGAGGTGAGGTTGGTAGTTTCGGTTCTCCGGCGGAAAGGAGGAACGACAACCAGGGTCCGGGTCCAGAAGTGCTGAGACTCCAGTTCCTGTCCCTCTCCGGGTCTCCGCGTGACTCAGAGTTCCCGCTGCGGAGCGTCGGACAGGATTTCTCCGGGATTTTTGATTCGGTGCGCAACAGCGAGCGAAGCAGGAGGTGGCAGGTGTTCTGGGAGAGGACAGGAAAAGGAGGAGGAGGACAGTCCGGACGAATGACTGGAAATCAACTGGTTGGAGCTTCGGTGGGTCAGTTTTATTAGTATGCTGCTGGAGTCTCCTGCTGCCGACATCCAGCCGGAGGACTGACCGGCAGCCCTGAAGTCTCCGTGCCCGCTGGGTGACTCCTCTCCCCGGGGAGGAGGAGGAGGACCCAGACTGCGGTTCTGACGGACACACCACCGCCTTCTGGACCTGAAAGATGATGGGTTTTCTGCGCCGGACGTTCAGCCGCCGGAGCCGCTTCCAGACGGGAGAGAGGGACGAGCAGGACGGTCCAGGAGGAGGAGGAGGAGGAGGAGGAGGTGGGGTGAGCGGGAACCCCCTGCTCCTGCCCCACCAGCAGCAGGTAGTCCACGCGCCAGCAGTGGTCTCCGGAGGTGCGTCGGTCCACATCCCGGCGGCCGGGTCGGCGAGGACCACCATCACCTGCCGGGTCCTGCTGCTGGACGGCTCGGATGTGAGCGTGGATCTGGCTGTGAGTGGTTCTGTGTGCGCCAAGTTGGGGCCCGGGGGCCCCGCGGGGGTCCTTCAGGGTCTCCTTGGTGGTCCGTTTGAAGGTCACCACCCTCACCTGTGGGAGTTATTTAAAGAACAAATCTTCAAGTGCATGTGTTTTCGTCTGACCACCTTGTTTGTTAGCAAAATATCTCAAACAGCTTGACGAATTTCAGTGAAACAAGCAAAAGTAATAACCTCTGGAGTTAACCTGATTCAAGATGGCCGCCACAGACAACTGATCTTAAAAAGCACAACAATAGCTTGAACTCCTCCAACACTGCAGGCATGGACCTGAAGCTTGGTGTGGTGGTAGCTGAGACTGATCCCCAACACATATTTTGAGCTTTGACAAATCATGCAAGATCTTCAGCTAAAAAAAAAAATTGCAAAAACTAATTCAAGTTTTTGAATGTCTGTTAGCAAAATATCTTGTGAACTGAACAGATTTTAATGAAACAGGAAATAATCATCGGATGTGCATCTGCAACTGATCGACCTGTGGAATGAAATTTTAAGATGGCCGACAACATAAACTGACGTTAGAAAATACAAAACTGCTCATGTATTTTGTTTCTATAGATTTTGAGCTGAAATTTGATGTGGTAGTAGCTGAGAGTGATTCCAGAATCGTCCGGTGATGAACCACCCCTAAGCGTTCGTGCGAAGTTCGCTCGCTGCAGGTGACCCATGCAGAAAGGAAAAAACACAAATAAGCAAACGTTGGCTGAGTCATTCACAAAACAAAATACGAGATATGAGATCGAGCATAACGGTACTTTCAAGGTTTGACCAAGAAAGCAACACTGTCTCCTCATCATGACGCAGGGATATTTATTCCTTCAAATTTATTTTAGATTTTAGCATATTTTAAAGTCTGACTACAACTTTTCAATGTCAAAATATAGTTTAAGCTTCACCTTATTTGAACATGACTAAAAAGTTGTTGGAATCTGGAAAATGTAAATGATTATTTGCAGCTTTATACTTCTTTTAATGATTTAGCAGACGCACTGTTCTAATTAGGACTCGGACAATTAACTTGTTGATTATGTGATTCTGGATTTGACTAGTCCAACAGAGAAAACGGGTTCAGCTTTTTGTATTCGGACCTAAATCGAACAAACTGAGCTGGCTCAGATGTCACCTTGGAGTCATTGTTTATATCACCGGCAGCCATCATTAACTTTTGGAGCTAACCTTATTCAAGCTGGCTGCCACAAGTGAGGGACCTTATGCAAAAATTACTCTAACTCAGTCGGTTTTACAGCTGTCGAGCTAAAATTTAGCGTGGTAGTAGCCGACGGTCCCCAATACAGATCACGTGAAATTGTGCCTAATCACTTTAATACATCAAAGGATGATATTGATTAAAACTTTGGTGTGAAAGATGGTGGGGGTGTGCATTCCTTCAAGAAATCTTAAATATTTGATTAAACATTTTAAACACTTTCAAACAAGCAGTTTGTTACAACTTAACCTCAGACTGACTACATTTTTAAATAAAATCAGTGTTCCTTGAAGAAATACATATTGCCCTCCATCTTACATGCCAAATAAATCAGTTAGTGCTCGGATTAAGTGTTGGAAATGACTCTCAGCTACTACCACAACAAATTAGCTTAGCATCAGTTGTAGCTATTTTTGAGTTTTTCTAAGGTCAATTAACTGTGGTGGCCATCTTGGATCAAGTTGACTCCAGACGTTCTAGAAGTATATCCAGTTTCATTTAATTTATTTCTCTGGTTCAGGGGATATTTTGCAAACACAGAGACAAACTCATGCAGAGAAGCACGCCAGACCGAGGCAACTAGAGAGAATTAGTTCCAGTGAAAATGTATTGTGAAGACCGAGAAGAAGAAGCTAAGTTGGTAACGCTAAAATAAAAGCAAAACACTAACTACAAACTAAAAGAAGCAGACCGCTAGCTCACAAAATAAGCAGAACAAGCTTAAAAAAGAAGCAGAACGCTAGCTAAAAAAGAAGCAGAACTCTAGCTCACAAAAGAAGCAGAACTCTAGCTCACAAAATAAGCAGAACTCTAGCTAAAAAAGAAGCAGAACTCTAGCTCACAAAATAAGCCGAACAAGCTTAAAAAAGAAGCAGAACGCTAGCTAAAAAAGAAGCAGAACTCTAGTTTAAAAAAGAAGCAGAACTCTAGCATAAAAAGAAGCAGAATGCTAGCTAAAAAGAAGCAGAACTTTAGCTTAAAAAGAAACAATGCTAGCTAAAAAAGAAGCAAAACACTAGCAAAAAAGAAGCAGAATGCTAGCTATAAAAAGAAACAGAAAAATATTGAAAAAGAAAGCAGAAAGTAAAAACAAACAAAACAGCTAAGACCGACAACAAAAATGTGGGTGGGAACAATGAAGCACCTACACCTGCCTCCACCTTCATTTACCCCACTCTGGCCCCTTGAACGCAGTCTTTTCAGACAGTGCACAACACACGCCTCATCTTGTTACTCCCTCCTCTGAAAAAGTGCACCTCACTCAGCAGTACGGGTCTAAATACAACAATATTAAAGCGACTGAACAGTGCTTTTCATTTTCTATCTGGCAACCCTAAGAAGAATTAAAATAGCACCAAGTGTGCAGAATTAGATGGACTGCGAAAAGCATTTTTAAAAATATTTAACAGGAAAACTGTTTTCAGACTATTAGATGATGGAGATGGGGATCTTGATCTTTTTTGGACTTCTACATCAACAAACTTTAAACCGTTGTGTTCTTTCTGTACCTGTGTGTAACTCCTCCTGTAGGGATGCAGGACGAGGAGCTCAGATCAGTTTTAGCTCATCTTTTCTGGCTGCAGAGACCTCAGATTTTGCAGTTTACAGCATCTCTCTCCACTGTTTTTATTTTCCCTCTCTCATAAGCCAGCCTCCAATCCTTTGCTGTCTTCCCTCATAATCTTCTTTTACTCTCCCTCTGTGGCTGTTCTCCCTCGCTCATCATCGTTCTATTCCTCTCTCTCTCTCTCTCTCTCCCGCTCCTCCCCACGCCTCATCTCCCTCTCAGTCCATCTCTTATTCCCCAACTCCCTGATCTGATTTACCACCGCAGGGACTCTGTGGCACAAATGAGCGACACGCCGGGGGTGGGTGAGGGGGTAGGTGGGACGACGAGCGACTGTGTGGGCATGTGTGCGTAAGTGGCTCCTCATGAGATGTTTTCATTTAAAAAGGTTGCGTGTGTCACTGAAGCTGTTGCGTGCGTCACCTGCGAAGCACCCAGCCGACGTGTCGTGGGTTAACGGGCTGGAAGGAGAACTTTTTTCCTTTCTAGTCCTGACAATAAATCAAAGCAGCAGCTTCTTCTGAGGCATTGGTTCAGAATGACACATGGCTCGTCGGGCAGGTGTCTAGGTGTGTTGGAACAAGTTCCTTCACGTGCTGCTGTTTACCCACAGGCAGCGATACAGGTGCACCTTATTCAGCTGAAACTCCCCTTTTGTTGGCGTGTTACTTCAGGCTGAAAGCAGGAAAATAAAGACCCGTTGTGGAAAAATTCTCACACTTTTGATTTTACTCTCTGAACGACCCGCTGTTAAAGTGAGCAGTTTTGTTTGTCCTTTAATATTTCCTCACACGCTCACACACCCAGCAGGAAGTTTCGACTGGTTATCAAGATCCAAAGTACAAGGCTGTCATCCCTCTACATGCCCTCTGCTGGTTTTTAATTTTTTTTATTTAATGTAGGTCAGACTCGGATTATCTTCATAGGGAGGAAGTTGTAAACGGCTGCCATAAAAGTTCAGGACAGAATGCTGCAGCTTCAGTGCAGCCACTCGTGTCCTTGGTTGTGTTTTATGACAAACGGTTGAATTCAGGCCTTCCTGTCTCTGGGGGTGCGTCCATCTCGTCAGCTCACACGCTCACGTTCATTTACCCCACCACTAAAATCGACACAAGGCCTGTTTCTAGTTTAAAGGAATTGCTCAGATCTTTTAAAGCAGGGTTTCTCTGAAAAGGTTATGGATAATCACTGTCTTACCTGTTGTACATAGCTCTTTGAACGACCTCAAGTTGAAGAAACAGAGTTAAAAGGTACTCATAGCAAAGATACGAAGACCCGTTAAGTTTTTACCCTAGTTTGATCTCGCCATATTTGTTTACTTACACGGAGTACAGCCAGCTCGATGTAGGTCACGTGACTCAAGCTTCCACGTGGTTTTCACTTCATTCATTGTTTACAATGAGTGCGTACCTACATTTTAGAAGCAAGCGCACATCAATATATCTGGAAAAATAGTTAAACTCTTTTAAACTGAACCATGTGATATAGTCCAGGATAATCTTTATTATGTTTCTTTTTTTTATAGTTTGCAATGAGGACCTTTAACTGACCATGCTTAGCTGTAGTATTATTGTTGTATCAAGTATGATGAAAACAATTAATTAGCAAGCTGTTTACAATTATTTTTATTTTTAGAGATCAACTGGGGGCCCTCACTTGGTTCTTGATTCCCAGTGGGGTCCTTACTCCAACTTTGGAAACCACTGGTGCAAAAACAAAATTTAACGTTTGCACAAACAGCTATAAAATAGTTTTTGAATTATCAGAGTCAGAGTTTCTTTATTGTCATTCGCACCTCATGTTGTACATGTGGTGGAGCGAGATTATGTACACAGGGTCCCAGTTACATCCAACAATAAAATGTATAAGAAAAACAATGATAACATCTAAGATATGAACTAAGAAAAACATCAACTAAATATACATTAAGCACTCATAACATAAAAACATTTTGTCGGACATCAGCACAAACATGAACATGAGTCTGTGTGAGCAGATGAGCACGCATGAACACATCCACATTGAAACAGATCAGCAGCAACATGAAACAGATCAGCAGCAACATGAAACAGATCAGCAGCAACATAATGTGATTTTTTCACAGTGATTATTCTGGTTAGAGATTCCCAGTCTAGTGGTTCTACACTTAATGCTCCTCAACCTCCTTCCTGAGGGGAGTGGGACAAAAAGTGTGTGTGCTGGGTGAGTGGGGTCCTTCATGATGCAAGTGGCCCTGAATTATGTTAAAACAGCAGCAATTCACTGTGATCTTGGTCACATTTGAACTAGGCATTTGCTCGTAGAAGGTCGCTCAGACTGTCCCGTCTGCAGCAGGTAAGATATTATTGGTTTATAACCTTTTCCACAGAACCTCACTTTTAAAGATCTGAACTGTCACTTGGACATTTGAAACTAAAGCTCATTATTAAAGATTAAGTTTATCCATCAGGGAAGGCCCGGCTAGCAGCAGCCAATGTTTTTCTTTCGACTGCTCCTTCAGGGGTCGCCACAGCGAGCGAACTTCGCACGAAATATTTGGCTATTGTTTTACGCCGGGTGCCCTTCCACCCTCAGGATTACAAGACCACATTACTGACTGACCACCGAGCTACGCCTGCTCACCTTACTGCAGCAGAGATAAACAATAATTTATTTTTATTTGTTTTCTCGTAGAGTAAATCCAAAGGCCAGGACCTTTTTGATCAGATCATGTACCACATCGATCTGGTCGAGACCGATTATTTCGGGCTGCAGTTCATGGACGCCGATCAAGTTTCAGTGAGTAAACGAGCTCTTCTCTCCATCAATGAGGACAACAAGTTGGCGTAACTCACTCATCCTCTTTCTCGCTCTTTATTAGCGCTGGCTGGATATGTCCAAGCTCATAAAGAAGCAGATCCAAGGTAAGTTGCCTCAGACTGCTCCTCTAAGTGCAGGATAATGTGCAGTGTGCTGCAGCAGGTAAAGTGGGGAGCAGGTGGACCATTATCTAATGTTGACACAGTGATTAGCGTGTGCGTTTGGAGCCGAACCCTTGTTTGCTCTATGGTTTGTACGGGGGGTGGGGGTGGGGGGTAAATAGTGCAGCAGGAAGACAAAAAAGGGAAGAATATAGCGGTTGCTGTAATGTCTGAAAGGATCTGATTGATGTTGAATCAGGGGAGGAAAATAAAAGCAGAGCTGCAGACAGACGTGACTGGATCCAGATCTGCGGCCTTGCGACGGTGATGAATGAACTCGATGAAAAGGGCTTCAGTGGAGGGAGATTAAATGGATGAAATAAATTACAAGAAGCTATGATTTGATTAAATTAATTTTCCATAAGTTGCTGCTTCATCACTCTACGCCTCTTTATCTTCGCTCTGCTTCGTCTTCCTTTATTCATCCCAGAGGGTCCGTCTTACCGACTCTTCTTTCGAGTGAAATTCTACTCTTCGGAGCCAAACAATCTGCGTGAGGAATTCACTCGGTAAAAATCACACACACACACACCACAGTGGAGCTCTGTGTGGAGGTCCAAACAGGGGAATGTAGGGCTAATTACTTTGCTGCTGTGGGCAGATACAAATCAAGGCCAAGCGTTAAAGCAGATGATGTGTCAGAGACGAGGAAACGTGTTGCATCAATTGGTTTATGCTCTCGAGCGCTCACTAATCTGCTCTTTGTCCCTCTCATCAACAGGTATCTGTTTGTTTTGCAGCTTCGACAAGACATTTTGTCTGGCAAGTAAGGTTTTATTTATTTATTTTTTTCTCTCTGCAAAACTGAAAAAAAAATAAGGCTCAAGAACATAAATGAAGTGAAGAATGCTTTTTATTTAACCACATGGAGCTATTACTGATGCTGTTTGCTTGGATAAACTTTGGACTCTGAAACATTGTCATTTTATTATTGCTCAAGGCGAAAGGGGAGCTCGTGTTTTTGCCAGTGTCTGCGTTTGTCTGTAAAGTGAGCAAAATGTGTCATGAAGCACTGCACAGATTTTAAAGAACTCAATCACTGTAATCTATTGATGAACCTTTAGAGTCAGCCTCATTCAAGATGGCTGCCACAGCTAAGGGATCTTATCAAGTTCATAAATAATTTAATTAAAATCTCAGAAAGCAACCATTGGCTTTATAGCTATTGATTTTTGCTCATTGATTTGTTCATGCGCTGTTAAGACTTTCCCGATAGCTTTAGTATAATTCGGATCAAAATGTTGGTGTCGTTCTTGTGAATAAACCAAGTAGTTTGTCAAAAACAAGTTATGCCTTCTTTAAAACCAGTTTATCATCTCTGAATCAAACCATTCTTTGCAAAATAAACTTGTATTTTAAAAAAAAGTTCACTGTATTTTCCGCCGTAAACGTAG